CTAATTAAAACGAAGAAGAGAAGTGGCTTCTCTGTCCTACTTCTGTCAGTGTAAGATCGCTTGACTACGGTAGAAGTAGTTGACAATTGTATTTGCCGTCTCAAGTGTCAGGTTTGACATGTTTAATTTAGTTAATGCCTTAACACGAACCTCCGACAACAATAAGTAGCAATACGCGAAATGACATATTTGAAATAGCGAAGAAATGTAATCTTTTGTATTTCATTGTTGAACAAAGGAACGGCAGAGAGACAGCGTTCGCTACAATATTTGATTTGTTCCAATTTATTAATATCATATGTGTACTTTAAAGCTTAATCATCAACAAAAGTGCAATTTCATTTCAGCAAAACCAAAATCTCTTGTTGATTGTGACACCCTTCCTTATTCTTATTTTATATTAATTCTAAACAAATTCTTTGATAAAGAACAAACAAATCTTGAAAATCTATCATTGCTGAAAATGACGACATAATATGTTGCAGATTTTAGACCAATTGTTTCTTTTTATGGTATTTGTGTCATATTCTGTCAAGATGTTTGATATTTTATAAACACTTTTCAAATTCCCATTCATTTTTATTTGACCTAGAATTGCAGAAAAACTTTCAACAATAAAGCAAAAAGTAATTACCCTTTCATAACCCGATGTTATTCCGGTGAGTTTTTATTGACTTTGTGTCAGAGGTTGTGGTAGCGTACAAGCATTGTCACAGTAAAATACATTACTAATAAGTATCTCAGGACACACAGGAGTTTTGCTTTTTCAAGTAAGAATGAAACAATAGAGTATTTTTTCTGTGAAGTGTGTAAAACCGGTGTGCAAGTTTTCAGAAAGAGCTTACGCAGAAGAAAACCTATTAAAAGATATAAGACAAATAATATTTATTACAAATATGAAGAACTAGTGCATTACAACTAACCACCATTCTCAGTACTATCAAAACTGGGCTAGAGTGACATTGTGATAATGTGGCTTCAAGAGGTGAAATGAATAGTATGTGGATTTCAAAGAACTCCAAAGAACTTTTGACAAATCTTCAACAACCTCTACAGAAACAATTTCTTCTATAAGGACATTTAATCCACTCTGTAAAACACCATATCTCATTCTAGAAAGAAGAAACACCTTCGTTCTCTCGTTACGAGAGCTTTCTATTCCATGAAAGGGAAACGGTGCTATAGATATATTCTGGTTTGCTATACTGCGTAAAGAATTCTTCCAAATCCAAAAATAAATATACGTAAGACGAAATTATAATATATAATCGAGTTTCTGGTAGACGACATCTTCGTCGAGTTCGGTAGTAAGATCTTCCAACAACGTATTGACATACATATGGGAGCTCACTGTGCCTGTCTGTTTGATGATTCCTTTTTGTTTTAAACGAAGAGCATAGCAAAGACAAAGACCTTGCACTTTTAAGTTAATTGATGACGTCTTATCTTTAAACAACAGACAGATCCACGTGAATATGTAATTGAATACACGACTTTTCTACTTCAACCGCTTATCTCGATCTTTTCCTACAATGAAACCAATATGGACAGCTTCCCATCAAGCTTATGATAAGCATCATTTTAATTTTCCCTTGTTATGAATTTTTTCCATTTCTGATGGCAAGAACTCGTCAAATGACAAACTCGTATCACTGAATTTCAAAAGATGGAGAATTTTTACAGTCAATCTAGCAATTTCATTGAAAAACATCCTATTTCTTTATACGATATGAACCTGGACGTGTTTGATGCTCGTCATTTTACTGTTGGTTCTGTTGTCGTATACCTTCTTATCGTTTAAGAACGTGACATTACTTACTTGGATTGACCAAGATTTACATAGTGGGTTCCGTCTATGAAATAGGTGACGCTTACTCTTCCGATTCACCTGGTCCTATTCTCTTTGTACTTTTTCAGGTGTCGTCGTGTAAATCTTTCTTTTGTTAATATTTTCCGTACTTATATTGAATTTTAGTTAATGTTGACATGTTGGCATCTTGTTGTTTTCCTTTATGAACGATTTTTGATATATGACATGAGAAATGTTTTAGTTTTATTATGTCTGAACGATTTGGTTGCACGCCCTTTGAATTGTCCTTGGAAATTCCTTCTCTCATTATAAATGTTCCCAAAATATTCAAGGGAAGAAGGAGACCCATATATTAAGAATTTGTGAATATTAAAATACCATTTTGCTATAATAAACTTTGTTAACGATACACACTATACATATAACTGAGCTAAATGTTATTTTGTATGGTGAGAAGTGCTTTGAAAAAGATCAAATGTTCGGAAGTATTTACCCGAAAGGATCTCAATGAAATCAGTAAACGATTGCAATTTTTGATCTGTGAAAACAGCTACATTGTAGCTATTGACATATGAAAACAACAACTTGTAATCTCCAATGCATCATTGCATTTCAAATGCGTAAACCGAAAATGTCATTTTCCTATCGAGGACATTGTAAGACTAATACTGAGACTTTCTACTGTAAATTGCAGAGCCAAACAACTGCAGGTATACATTCCAACATGGCGGCAAATCACTTTCATACACAACATTGCAGCTTATTTAGATGTATAATATTATGACTTAAGATATCGTATGATTAGTTTCAGTGTTTACTCGTGCTACTAATGCCTTATGTCATGGTTCTCCTAACCGACCCTGTCATTAGAATATTCGCTAAGGACCTCTTATTGATTTCCATGTTAAAGGTAATTTATTGTGAGAAAATACATTTTGATGGTGGACGTTGCCGATTTCCTCTGAGAACATTAGCGTCGTAGTGTTTTTAGAATTTGATTTGTTTCTAAATTGTTGTAATAAGTAATTGACAACTAAATAGTAAACATCTCCGAATCCCTGTGGAACTTGCGTGGTTCCTACATAATTACATTGAACGTACCACACTAGCCAAGAAACACGTGTTTGTATCTTGATCGAATCACCCTTGCTTCAGCAGCACCGGAAGGAGATAATGTTGTGAAAATTTAATCCGAGTCTGTCACATCTTTCAGTCAAGCTATGTTTAATAAAAGAGGCAGTCAGAAAAAGTAGTCCTTCATTCATTTATCACGCAATAGTTTAACGCATATGTAGTTTCAGACAGGAGACAGTTACAGGAGAGAAAAGAAATTATAGTTGAGAAATATTATATCATAATTATACACAGGGTGATGTCATATCTTAGTCACAAGAAATGGTTATCGTTAGCATTACTATGCAAAGCTATGAAACGAATGACAAAGAGATAAATACAACTGGCTTGCTTACTACACTATTGCCATTCTAAAGGAAACTGCTTTTTGTTAATTTATTCTTATTAAAAAAATTTAATTTTCTACTTTCGCTGAATTTGATAACACTGTCAAATCTTCTAGATTTTCGCTGTATTTCATAACACTGTCAGATCTTCTAGATTTTCGCTGAATTTGATAACACTGTCAAATCTTCTAGATTTTCGCTGTATTTTATAACACTGTCCCTATTGTAAATGATATTAGCAGATATCTTGACTATTGCTACTCTAAACGAACGTTATTCTAAATGAAAACGACAAATTTACAAGCAGTCGAAAATGTAACAATTGTGCTAAGCTAACGTTGATATAACTGAAACTGTTTATAACGCTAAATTATTTATTTATTTTAAATGAAACTGCTGAGTTTGCAATACTAATTGTAATCTAATGAAAATATCAATTATCACTTGCTGCTAATATGCTCCATTAGTAAAATTAGTAAAAGATTTTTTTTAAAGTGAATTACACCTTTAATATAAATTTAACATTAGACACAATATAGCCAAATAATGAATTAGACCTATGACACAGCTGTTTTGTCCTTCTAGGGCTCGTCAGCGATGCTAAGGATCTATTTTTTGTAATCTATTAGGCGACAGAGAAAAATTAAAAGTGATCGAAAGAAAAGTTTGAATATTAATGGGGAGGTTTTCATATTTTCATATATAAGATATAAAAGATCGTAAATATTTATATTCCGACTCGAGCCACTGTTCGATAAATGAAAACGAGGCTCGAATATACGGCGTATCTACATTATTTCATGGATTGATCAATCAAACACGGTTTGCTTCTCGATTGTGTTTACCCGCTTTTTGTTGTTTAACTAAAACCATGATATATATCAGTGCATTAAAGCAAAGACCGATATGTACTCTTAGAATACAGCCTCATCAAAATTAATATGGGGATTATTCTATTGGTTTCGTGTCAGGTTTTCTAAACCTACCATTTGGCTAGACAAAGGTTATCAGTAAAGTACGTGAAATCAGTCTGAGGATTAGAAAAGTTTCCTGTTTAGCACATTCACATCAATCTCGGCAATAAAAAACTGGGTTCCCAATGAGGTCCAATTTGAAGTACATCCCATTGGGATCAACGTGATTAAGGAAATGCAGTCTACGGAGCAGAGACAAATGGGATGTTTCTCCTTAAGTAATCTACTCCCAAATCGATTTGTCGTAGATATAGAAAACGTGTTAAACAATACTGTACATACACTTTAAGGCAAACCCATAGAATACATTATACGTATCTATACAACGGAACACGCATGCTATGACAGCTAATACTCTTATGTAGTAAATTTGTATGACAAACATGAAATAACATGAGTTTGACGTCATGAAAAAGAAAATGACACCAAAAGGAATGTTTCATTAAGGCGTACAGTTTCTCTCGGAAATTACACAAAAGAAACACATGTGGGCAGCTCCTTTTCATAGAATTTTTTGGTAATTTTTGCCTCATATTTGGTACCAAAAAGTCAATATGTCCTATATGATATATACAACAACCAACATTTTGTGTCGAAGGTTTCATAACCGAAATCTAAAGTGCAAGAAACTTATATCCATATAAAGAGTTTGTTGATAAACATATGACTTAGTTTACATTCGATAATATATGACGTCCTCTGAAGTCGCAATATGACATTGTCTGAAGATACCAAAATTGATCAAATTTAGCCTACCTGTAGTGTACGGGCGATCCGCTCTAGTGCTGACACTTGCTGGGGCTCATCATAACTCTGCTGTTCGATTCGTATGATTTCAGAACATGTGTCATCTTCTGTCCTGAGTGATAATTGTGGACTCAAGCCACCATTTTCTAAAACCTCTACCTCATCTTCGAAAGATTTTGAGTGGTTCACCTTTTCAGGTGGTCTACTGGTTGTTGGTGACGTCGCCATGACCACTCTCTCTCCCTAATTTTCATCTGCAATAGATTATAGTACAAAATGCAAGTTAAGTAATTCTTAAAGGTTTAACAGAAAATGGGGCAAAGTGCAATAACCTAAAATTTCGAAAGTACGGCGCAACATATTTTCCTCGATGCAGGTGCAGAAGTGTCTTTGTAAGAAACTGCATGGTTATTTTCATTTGTTTTAATTTACGGAATTGGCCGCTGGGAAAAAACATTATAACTTGCCTTCAGAAGGTTTTCTTTGAATTTGCTGGTGTTTCATTTCATGGACTTTTGTTGAGGGAGCTATGTGATGAACCTCCGAAATAGATATTTACCTGGATGAAGTAAATATCATTATCATTTCTCAGGTTCATATCACGATAGAAATTTCTAATCAAAGAAACGTGAATCGTTCAATTGATAAAGAGAAAGTCAGGATTTACCTTCGGTTGACATGTCCTTATATATACCTCAATAAAAGTCCTTAGTTGTAACATAAATACCAACCAATGCTGATTGCGATCAATTAGGTGGAAAGTAAACAACTGACAGGGGAAAAAGAGTCAGGTCGGTTAGAAAAACCTGCCGATGTAATGAAATTCCAATTCATCAAAACATTGGAATAAATGAAATATTGAGATAAGGTTGAACAGGAATCTTTGTTTCTTCGTCTAATCCTTCAAATCTGAACATAAGCACTCGATATTTCACAGCTGGAAATTATGGATCAGCTAAGTCACTGAATGATTGTTTGTCATCTATTTAAAACCCGAATGATTCCACGGCCGATTAAATTCGGATATGTCGTCACTGCAAGATAATGTGACGACAGAAAAAAATGTTTGGAAAAATTAAAACGACAGAATATATAGATAAATAGAACAGAAAGTCATCTTTAAGGCGATGAAAAATAAAACAAGAGTATATTATTGGTAAATACGAAATTTCATTTAAGGAATGTTAACAAGGCAGTTGAGAATGGCAAGCTTCATCTTGTTTGTATTTTTTTTAGTTTAAAAACAAAGCATGATACTACCGACTTATCATCCCAAATAACACATTTTGTATAAATCTGATATAATCTTTCCCCACTGCCGAATCAGGAAAACAAAATCTTGTCAACATGGCTTCAAAGAAAGTAAACTTTGAGTATAGATTATGGATAAATGTAAGGCGAAATATGTTTTTGTAAAAACATTGATAGTTTACACTCATTTTTTGAAAAAAACATGAAATATATATATATATATAAAGAAAATTGTTTAAAAACACACAAGTAAAAGTTAAGTTAGCATTTTGCATAACTTTTTCCTGTGTCTTGTATCGTCATTAACTATATCATATGTAGTTAATGACGATAGGCAAGTGATCATATAAAGATAATTGTTTAAAAAAAACACACAAGAAAAAGTTTTATTCGGTTTATGATAAACCGATAAAGACCGTTTACAAACATAACTATTCAAGAAAACGTCAACAGAACGAGGTAGTCAAATACAGTATACTGGGTATTTTCCACACAGGATATCTTTACCCTTGTACCAATATCCAAGAATTTGCCTCATGTTCATTTTGTCATCCGGGAATTATATAAAAAAATATTACATAAATGTAATGATTTTTCTCTCCCCCCCCCCCCCCAACCCCCCTCCCACCCATCTTGAATTCGCCCTCCTTGTTCACAGGCGATAAGGGTGAAAAATAAACGGGGGCGAACATTGGTAGCAGTCATTTGTATCATTTGAGTAACACAGAACAAAGTTATCAGACTTGAAACATCCCACTAATAATATTCTTCCTTATTACTATTTGTATATTATACAAAATAACATATCCGAACCTTGTGATACCAGAACTTTGAAAAGAAATTTTAAACTTTGTCAAAGTAAAGAGGCTTTCAAATAAAATAAACTTTTATATTTACTCTATAACTCCGAAATCTAAATTATTCTTCCAAACCCTAAATATGTAAAATATTGCAAGTTATTATTTCTTTTACATATTTCTTAAATAAAAAAAAACATTTATAGTATGTATTACAGAATTCTGACAGGTATAGCAAGAGTTATAGGATGTTATTTGAAAACGTCGGAAACAGAAAAACCAGACGCTTAACAAAAAACTGAAGAAACTACGCCAAGACGAACACCATGAAATATCTATTTCCTGTGAGAGCTGCCGATGATTAAAACTGTTATAACATTCGTCGTTACCTCACGATCTATAAACTCTCAGAAGAATAACAAGACGTTCTGGGAAATTAATGAGAGGAAATTACGCCCATCCTGCTTCATCACAAACAGTGATAATTTACTGGAAATGATCGAGAGAATCTCTATAAGACAAAAAATTTGCATGTCCTCAATGTTTAAAGAAAGTGAAAGAAAATATTCCATCAAATTGTGATAGGTACAACTAAAACTTAATAGTACTTCCTTTTAGAAGACATTTAGCGGACTTCAGATGCGACTTTGGTTGAAAAAAAATCAACAAATAGAAATAAACATCTGATGTTACAACAACAACAATCACAACAGAAAACATTTTCTTTTACTTTTACAAATTATTTTAAAAAAATGAATAAATGGTTCTTGATACGTCCACGGCAGCAAAGTGCTTTAAGTTTTATCTATATGAGACATGAGGTATTGTATTGTTTTGTTATTATTTACAGCCATTAATATAGGCAGGAGGATTGGATGTAGAGAAAATGGATTTGTCTTTTCAAGGGTTTTCCTCAATAAAGCAAAAATTAATGACCACTGACATCATTCTAAACAGAGGCGAATGGTTTGACAAGGACGCTTTCTCAAGCTCAACACTTATCATGGCTGACGGAAGTTCGTTGTAATTATCACTGCTGGTTTGGTGTCAAACGATGCAATGAATTTAAAAACTCGGTTCTTATTAAGTGTACTGGCAATTGCTCGAAAGCCTATGGTTGAACTAAATACAATTCACGACCTACACAACCACCATTGACCGCCCAGACAATGCGGAGGTTTCCATCACTAGCCACCTCCATCATTACTTACAACAATGACCGTTCAATAGTGTAGAGCGGAAGCGGGATCCAATCTCCCGAGGGAGCTGTCATTTTTCGAGATTGAGTGGCCATGTTTTGTCGTATATGTGTGGTTTGCGGACACAAGGGACTGCTTGGATAACAAATTCTCCCTGGTTACAAGTCAAGTTCGTAAATAGACAAGATGGCTGCAGTTTTTCACGCCTACTTTTGTTCAAATACAGCTGTTGCTGATGAAAGTGGTTATAACAAGCGGAGCTGAATTATTGATGCTACGTAGACTATAGCCTCCACACGGTGTCAACGCCAAAGTAATTATCAACCTGATATATCCTGTAAGTGCTCATAATTTTACTTCGGTAAAATTAAAACGAAAGAAAAATCAATACTTTGATGAATTAATCTTCAGACAGCGAGTCCTCTCGCCGTGATTATCGACATATTTCAGGGTTGAGAGAACAGGACACAGTATATACTAGAGCAGTTTATCCTCGTCATTGCTGGAGGAAAGGCCATCACTTTTAACACTGCAATGCACGTGTTGTGCTAATGGTGTAGTGATGAATGCTGCTTCAAAGGATTTGACAGGGGAACAGATTTTTAAATTTTTGAATCTGACACCGGAACCTTATACTGCAGTCTCTAGCTAGGTCCCTGAACCACATTATTTTTTAAATCTCAATTTTACAACGAAGCAGCTTTCTATAATTCCATACTGCGTCCTTTTGCATTATCTTTGCACTTATAGAGAAAACGATTTAAGCTAAAATGACAAACGATCACAACTGATAACGTTCGATTCATCATCTTGTATCTGTTACCACACTGCGTCAATCTAGCATACTGTGGTGAACTCACTGATAATTTTTAACTGCTTCCACAACCTAAGGTGGCTTGGTGGTGGTGTTAAATGGCGTCTCCTCAATATCGCGCTCCCGACAACTGACGGATACGCTTATATTTAAAGATTATGAATAAAATTCAAGGTCAACATTATAATGGCATGGAGAAACATTACATTTCTTCACGTGATATAAAGTTAAGTGTGTTCGATGCTGATTAATATGACTTAAAGTTTCATTCGTCTGATTCTAATTTGAAAAATTGCTGTCGCCTATATTTGTCTAGATGTTTATGGCGGACGTCACAGATAAAGCAGAAGACACTTATCCTTCCGAAACATTTAGACTTATTATCATTATCCGTTTTCAAGATCATTCTCGATTTATTGAATTAGATAAGCAAGGGTTTTTTGAGATTAATGCAAGACAACAGAATCATGTTCATGATCAACTAGAACAAAATAATCATGTTCTAACAAAAACAGGACAAATTAATCATGTTCAAAAACAAACAGGACAAATATTAAGATATTAAGACAAAAACAGGACAAAACAATCATGTTAGAAAATACAGGAGAGATTGATAATGTTTAAAAACATACAGGACAAATAATTATGTTCAGAAACATACAGGACAAATAATTATGTTAAGAAACATACAGAACAAATAATCATGTTCAGACAAAAACAGGACAGTAGAATCGTGTACAGACACATAAAGGCTGTGAAACTACGTTCAAGCAAGCATGAGGCAATGGAATCGTATCCTGAACAACACAGGACAATGGAATTCTTTCAGACACAAACTAAAATCCCTTTTCGCCCCACCCCTTAAAAAAAACCCAAAACGATGGCAACAAAGGCATGATTAAAGCAATGTGGGATAGTTTGGCGCTCCCAGGATAAATACACGAGGATCCATCATGATTAAATCAACGTGGGATAATATGGCGCTCCCAGGATAAATACACGAGGATCCATCATGATTAAATCAATGTGGGATAATATGGCGCTCCCAGGATAAATACACGAGGATCCATCATGATTAAGAAGTACAATGAAAACCAGGCAAATTATATCGGGTAGGTGTTCTACCATTTGCAACAAAGATTATATATTTTTTTTATTTTTCTTTTA